TTTGGGCCTCCAACAACTACTGTCAACTATAGTACACATTGCTGCTGGTGATGGCTATGTGATTTGCAACCCAGAATCATGCATATATCTCCTGTAGTTTGGCACTGCAGGTGGTAAGAATTGCTTGTCTTTTCTTCTTTCAGCTGGAAAATCTCTGCTCCACAAAATTTTCATCCCATGGCTTCCTTGCCTCTCTTCTGTAGAACAACTATGCTTAATAAGACAAACATATTAAAATCTGCATGAAAATTCCACCCACTTCATGGGCCATGAAACAAATTCATATATGTTTGTGTGTTGGGGGGGGGGGTGAGTGTTATGCCCATGCCATTCTCTGCATGAAGGGCCCTTCCACTCAGCTATATAACTCAGAATATCAAGGCAGAAAACCCCACAATGTCTGCTTTGAATTGGGTTATCTGAGTCCACAATGCCATATATTCCAGTTCAAAGCAGATAATGTGGGATTTTATTCAGCTGTGTGGAAGAGGCCGCAGCCTAAAGGCAAGCTTGAAACCAGAAAGAAAAATGAAAGTAGTAATTTGACAAGTAAAGCTTTTTCTTCAACAGAAAAAGGATATCTAGTAGTAAATCTGGTAACAAAGCCAGGTGCAAAAACAATCCTCATTCATGGTTTTCTCAAGGTGGGACAGAATAACCCTATTTCATTGATTCTAAGACATGTTTCCCCCCATAAGGATATCTCTAAAAATGGAGTGCCTTTTAGAGTCATGGGTGGTGTGTGTGTGCACGTGCATGTTTTCTGGTGTTGGTACTGAAATTAGTGTAAATCTTACAATTGGTGGCATCTTAGAATTTTTTTCGTGTCAGGAACGACTTGAGAAACTGCAAATCGCTTCTGTTGTTAAAGAATTGACTGTCTGCAAGGATGTTGCCCAGGGGACGCTCAGATGTTTTACCATTCTGTGGGAGGCTTCTCTCATGTCCCCATATGAGAAGCTGGAGTTGACAGATGGGAGCTCACTCACTCCCTGGATTTGAACTGCCGACCTTTCAGTCAGTTTAACCCAGGGGTCCTCAAACTTTTTAAACAAAGGGCCAGATTATAATTTGAAAAAAAAAAACATGAATGAATTCCTATGCACACTGCACATATCTTATTTGTAGTACAAAAACCGCTTTAAAACAATACAATAATTAAAATGAAGAACAATTTTAACAAATATAAATTTAATAGTATTTCAATGGGAAGTGTGCGCCTGTTTTTGGCTGATGAGATAGGATTGTTTTTTGTTGTTGTTGTGTACTTTCAAGTCGTTACAGACTTAGGGTGACCCTGAGCGAGGGCCGGGTAAATGACCTTGGAGGGCCGCATCCGGCCTCCGGGCCTTAGTTTGAGGACCCCTGGTTTAACCCATTGCGCCACCAGGGACCCCTGTCTTAGAACAGAAGAACTATACTGTCCTCATGTCTGGCTGCTGGGCTTCCTGTCGCATCTGCTTGCTTCTTCTGAGAACTGAGGCCTTTAGTCTCATCTAATATTGCTATTTATATTCATATGAGGTCTGAATGGGATACAACTTAGAGCTGGAGTGGACAACTTGTTACCCTCACTTAGAGTTTGTAGTTCTGGATTTGGTTTTAATTGGCATGTTTAAGTTATCGTTTAATGAATTGTATAATGTGGTTTGAATTATTTTTAATGTTTTAAATGTAATTTTTGATTATTTATATGCTGATAGCATATGATGTTTGTATGAGGCTGCCCGGAGTCCCCCTTTGGGGGGAGAAGGGCAGGGTAGAAATGCATGAAATAAATGAAATAAATATATATTCTTATTCCTGAAGTTTCCAGGCCCTTGGTGGGGTCATGAAGCTTTATGAATTAATTTCCTACCACAGTTACAGCTTGAACAGCATGTCATTCAAGCACACACATGCCACATTTTCCTGTTTGGAAATCAAGACAGAGATTTTAGCTAAAGGGGCTGTCCCCAGATTAAGGTGAAATGAGTGAATTATTCTTTCTCATATACTTATGAGAAATTGGATAAGTAACATTTTGTGTAGTTTACGAGTACTTGCTTCTGGCCAGAAGGTGGATGCAGAGCAGAGGATTAGCCATGGGAGGAAGGAGGAAACAAAGTAAAGAAATAGATCCCCTGGCAAGTCTCTACAAGTTGCAGCAACAAATCATTTGAGGCTTGCCAATTTATACCAGGCTACTCTGCCAGGTGAACTGGAGATTTCAATAGTCTTTTCCTCTTGTCTGGTGCAGAGTCCAACAAAACTGGAGAATTTGCACATTTGTCTCTTGCCTGAAAACTGGAGACACAGAGCCAGACCCAGAGATCTGAAAACTATCCTTCCATCAGCCCTATTCAGTATAACCAATGTTGAGTTATTATGGGAGTTGTACTCCAAACTCTGCAGGGTCACAAGTTCTCCACTCTATCCTAGGGATGTGTGCTACTGCAGTCATGAGTAAGAATGATCTGCCAGTAAACAAAATGGTTTGAATCAAGTACTTAATGAAAAATGGAGAACAGGCAATGTTAAAGATACTGACCTCTCTCCATAGGAAAGTGCATGCATGTTAAACACTACATTGTTTAATGTATTGTCGAAGGCTTTGTTTGTTCACATTGTTTGTTCACATAGCACTGGGAAAACAGTGTATTATGTCATAGAATAGTACCAATGAAATATTGAATTTCTGGAGTGTAGTTTTTAACTATTTTAGTACCTTATGCTTGGGAAGAGCCTTACATGTTAATGACGACTTTCAAAACAAAGAATTTTCCCCAGATGTGACTGTACCTCCTTTTAGAGATGTTACCTTTCCAGTCCAGCATATATGCTTTTAATATTGTCCGATCCATCTTCCTGTTTCAAATAAATATATGTCCTCCTTTTAATGGTTTTCCTGTTCCTATGCCAAGAGTATTTTTAAGATAGCTACTGTAATTTTGTAGCTTACTTATTAACTGCTGCCTTACAACTCCTGGGTGTTGTATTTATTGTTGTATTTGTAATGTGGCTTTTAATTTGCTATGGTCTGTAAGCTGCTCTGAGGCTTCTTTCTGGTCGCTCTTCCTTGGGCGACCGGGTGAGAGCCCCATACCAGTGGAGAAGCAGGGGGGGAGGGAGAAGGGTGGCTCCAGCAAGGGGAGAGAGGAGGGAGAGAGGAAGGGAGGGAGGGGGAAAGTGGAGAGAGAGGAGGGGAGAGTGGAGTGGGCGAAGCTATACTGTAGATATACAGTATAGCGTCCCTACATCGTGGTTTTTCAGTTATCGCCGAAGTGTTTACTGGTTCCTGGAATGGAACCCCCACAATAAGTGAGGGCACACTGTAGTATTATAATAAGAAGAGTAGCAACAGCAACAGCAGTTTAGCAGATCAGAAGCTTCTTGAATTAACAGTACAGCAAATTAGTTTCAGCAATATGTAAGTCAAGCTTTAAAAGTTACGAAAGATTTCATTGAAAGAACAACATTTCTGCATAGAAAAGTTAGGGTCTATCTATCTCTCTGGAGACATCTTGCCTTTCTTCATGCTCACAGGAGAAGAACAAAAAATGAAGGACTCAAAGGCTGAAAACTTTGAATAAAAAGAGGCATGTCCCTGAGAAGTATCAGTCTAACAAACAGGCGGTGGGGGTGGAAGCAATGGGCACGCAAAGAAAGGACAATGAGGGCAGGAGTTCCTTCAGTAAGTAGAGCTGTCTATCTCCTTGTTGAGGACTATAAGAACCTAGAAGGACGTCCATGTTGAGTTCCAACATGGGGCCCGTCACAGAATAAAAAGACCTAAAACAACCAGGAAATAGAAGGAAATATACGGTTTCGAAAAATTTGTAAAATTCAGTTGGAACAATAAAAATGATGAAAAGCACTCTTGAAATATTTTATAATTAGCACATGAATCAAAAGAATTTTCAAAGGACTACTACATGATTTGTTGAAGGAACAATTTTGTTTATTTCAGATGACATCATATTCCATTAATCTAAAAATATTTAATAAACATTTTTTTAAAAAAATTAACAGTGAAAATTGAAACAGAAACCTTTGATGAGAATACAACTTTTCATAAACAAGTGCTATAAGTCCAATAATACCTCTAGGAACAACAACACGACATGTCCTAGAAGCGATATTCTTGTCTTTGTTTTCTCTCCTTTTTCAATCAGGCTGCAAGAGATCACACTATGACTCTCTTTTGAAACTTCTCTAACTTTAGCAAGTAACTTGTTCTGAAGAATGGAGACTACTCTTCTTGGCTGTGATGCCGGTGAACCAATTGTTGTACGACATTGTAGAAAACTTAAAAAAAATCTGAAAAAGTGGGGGAAAGTGGAAAGATTTTTTAACTGTACCGTAGGCTGTATAGTGAGTGGTTTGAGCATTGGATTATGACTCTAGAGCAGTGGTCCTCAGCCTGTGGGTCCCCAGGTGTTTTGGCCTACAACTCCCAGAAATCCCAGTCAGTTTACCAGCTGTTAGAGGATTTTCTGGGAGTTGGCCAAAACATCTGGGGACCCATAGGTTCAGAACCACTGCTCTAGAGACTAGGATTCAAATCCCTTCTCAGCCATGGAAGCCCACTGGGTGACTGAATAATTCACACTCTTTCAACCTTAATGGAAGGCAAAGACTATCATCCCTCTCTGAACAAATCTTACTGAGAAAAACTGTGATGGTGTCACCAAAAGTAAAAAAAAAACCCAACAACAACAACTTGAAGGCACATAAACACAGTAAGGCAGAAATCTTAGACATAATTCATTAAAATTATGCCCAAGAGAACTTCCTGGCATTTATTTCTGAATTGATATGTACAGGATTGCACTGTAAGGCATTTGAAATACTGCAGATAAGTGCAGTATCTTTGAGTTGTTAAGCCACTATCCCCATTCAGGGGGTCCCTTTAAAACTAGAAAAACTATCATGACCCCATAACTGGGAAATCTGCAGTTATGCTCGTAAGCCATCATTTCCTATCCAAATATTTATATCATGGCTTTCTACTTGTTGAGGACTATAAGCACCAAAGTGGTCTGACATTCTTTATCAGCCAATGGGCAGCTCTACAGTATAAATCAATGATTTCTAGAGTGGCTAAAAACAGCACTATCTGCAAGAATGTCTGCTCTCTAGCGATTCTTGTTATAAAAATATTTATTCATTTAGTCTTTAAAGATTCACAAAGGCATTTCACAAGTTATTAGAATAAGAATGCAATTCCATATTGCTTTATGTTTACTATTATTTTTGAAATTTGCTTCATCGTAGAAACCATTTTAACTGCTATCAAGTGTAAATTAGAGTCTTAAAGAAAACAAAAATAGATGCAGTCAGGATAGTTTCCAAATTCGGTGGGCAAAGTCTCTTGGAAGATTTGATACAATTGTTTAGGCATAAGATTTTGTTTTTATAGTTTCATAATAGTCATTTAAAATAATGAACTCTTTGCTTAGTCAAAAGGCAAGCATATGGACTTGAGACAAAAGGCACCAGGTTAACCTTTGGTTGACAGAGCAAATTCCATATTAAATAGACCTTTATTACATACCTAGTAAGTTATTCAAAACATTTCAGGCAGCGAGTGAAGAGGACTGACGGACAGACAACACGGCTTAATTGCAGTGCCTTTTAGAATTAGAGGTCACTCGAGGAAAATTCAACTCTTAGAATATTAAAAGGAAAAAAAGAATTATAAATTCAATCTATTTTCAATAATAAAAATAAATATATGCCTAAATAAGGCAAAACATCATTCCCAGATATGAATGGTACCCAATGATATTATTTAAAAATACATCTGGAAAATGTAAAGTAGTTTTGCAAACAAAAACTAGACAGCTAATGTTTTGCATACAGAAACATTTGATGTCAAATGAGAGTGAACACTCATTCTCAAATCTTGGTAAAATCATCCAGCACTCATTTATTCTGATTGAGAAAATTATCAGTGTTGTGTTTAAGTCATGTTTTCCTAACCTATTGTTTCAATTCATTTCAAGCCTATGTTATTTCAACAAGGAGAAGCAGTATTCGAACTTGGATAATAATATATGACAATATTTACATTCTGGAATATGTTTACCTTTTGACAATGTGTACTGAAAAAACCAACCTCATACAAATATAATTTGTGAAAGGTCTTAAAGGCAAATATATTACCCTCACCCATATATTTTTCCATGTAATGTGTACAATTTCAGGCAAAGATCCCATATTGGGATATACAACATAGTTACATTCACAAAAATGAATGTATATTTAATAAATAAGTTTGTCACTATAGGAAAAAATTGATTCAATTAGTCCTTTCTGGAAGCAAATTAAAGGAAATATTTGGGTATTATTCAGTTCAAAATACAAATGCAGTGTAGTTCATCAGAAAGATGTAGTTTTTAGAATTACTGTATTTTCTTCTTCCTTTGTTTTCTTTTGGCTTTTAGAAGTATTTCTGTATTTAATCCTGTAAAAAATGAAAAAGAAGCCATGAAAAAACAATTCACCAAATGCTGTGGCTTATTTCATGTTCAAGGAAGTGGCCCTTCAACAATTTAACTTTCAACATAATTTCAAAATATATAACCAAATGCTGGTTCTTGTTAAACCTAAGACCCAACAGGATAACTTTTCAGAAGTGTATTTAAACCAAACCAAACACATTTAATTCTAAAGGAAAACTAGCCATGTGATCCACCAATCCAATCTGAATAGGCACATCCCATAATCATTTCCTGGTGTGATCCAAACAAGTAGCAGAGCATGTTGGAAAACTGGTCTGGAGTAGCAATGTGACACTGTATATTTGGCTTTTCCTTAAAAATCACTCTTTTTAAAACAGTGAATTAAAACAGAATGTATTGTTTGCTACTGAGAAGCCACAACATAGACATGTAATGGAGTCTAGCTGGTAAGACAACCATTCTTCCTCAAGATTTAAGACCTCTGCATTCCCCGTTTTTATTCTTTTTCCTGTAGTTCATTGCAGTTTGCCACAAAAATGTTTAGGAAAGGAGTTAAGTCAGCCCTCCATACCCACAGATTCTGCATTAATGCATTCTACTACCCACACTCTGAAAAAAATTAAACCAAAAAGCACACCTTGATTCTGACATTTTACAGAAGGGGCAACATTTTACTGCATCACTGTACATAATGAGATTTGATTTTTGGTATCCTGGAAACAAACCCAAGCAGGTCACCAAGGCCCCAGAATATTTTGTTTTGTTGTGATTTCTTCTTTAGTCTAACTGATTGCCAGTTTTATTTTTAAAAATTATTTATATCCTGCCTGTTTCTGTCACTTAAAACACAGATAACAGACCATAAATCAAAATTAGAAGACAATTTTAACTATTATGGAATCATATTAAGAGTGCACAAAATTAAAAACAGTTTTAAAGCATTTAAAATAACTAATTCAATGTATTAAAAGGGAGAAAAAGCTCTTAGGGCCCAAAGTAGGTCTATATAAGAGGGTCTTTGCCTCAGAAGTTTCTGAGGCATAGATGAGGTCCATCCTGCCTTCTTTAAGAGGGAAGGGGAAGCTCTCTCTCACAGTGCCACCAAATTATGCCTGTGAGGGCAGTGGGGCCTACAGAAAGTGTTTCTTTAAAGGTCTCAAAGCTTAGGCAAGCTTATGTATGAAGGTATACAGTATTTAGAAATTCTGGACCAAAGCAAAGGCACAGAGAGCTTTATACCTTGTGATCTGACAATATGACCTATTATGAGTTGCCCATGAACTGTTCATGGGGGTGCTTGCCCACAACCTTTCAAGAGTCCTCTCCCATTTAGTCCACAGGCATCCACTGCAATCCATCAACACTTTCTGAAACGTATTTTAAAAATGTAACAAATCAATTAAAACTTACCCTTTAATCCTTAGCATCTGATCTATGGTATCTGGGAGTGGTGTGCCAAAACTCTCTGGAAGGAACAGAGTGAGGATTCCTGTAAGTACTGTCAAGCTTCCCATTAAAATGTAGGGAAGAAACCTGTCATAGGCCCCTGTTAGAAAGCACAAGAGGACAACAAGAGTGTTAGTGTCAAAGTGGATTACAGAGATCCTTTATTTACAAACTGTGTTTTGGGGGTCCCAGCAGCTGCTTGGAAGCTAAGCAAGAGCTACTCAGTAGCAGATTAACAAAGGATAGATCAGCTTCCTCACTTCTATTGAAGTTCTTGCCCCATGGAACTGCTAGGACTTGTCAGGACCAATGCACAAAGAAAGTTGTTTTGATAAAGGCAAGAGTTCACTTTAATGCTAGAAAGCACAGAACTTTGCCAAGCAAAAAATAAGAAAGATACTAACTTACCAAGATATACAAAGTAAGGTGACAGGATGCTACCAATTCTGGAGGCCATGGAACTGGCACCAACTCCCATGTTCCTCACCACAGTTGGGTACAGCTCAGCCGTATACACGTAAACCATTGAGAAGGCGGCCGTGATCCCAAACTTTCCAGTCATTACCAAAACAATGGATAGTACGCTGAGATCTACAAATGAGAGCCAAACTTGAGGATACTAAATCTATCACCAAGCCAGTAAAATATCTATCAGCCTCCTGCTTCTATTGCTGTTTTCACTTTTATCTAACACTTAACACCTTTCTGTTAAAAAATCAGGAGGCTAGTTGTGATAGTCCACTTCAGAAAAATATATATAAAGAATTATAAAGTTGGATGGAACTATAAGGCCATCTCATTTACAGACAACATCCTTCCTCATTGGATGCCTGTGCCATTCAATCATGAATGTTTAATGTCATTTTATGGCTTTATTTATATTTCATCTTAAACTAAACTGACAGACATGTTACATGTTTGGCTAATGCAGTGAAGTCAGGTTAGTGCAATAAAGACAAATACAATATGGAGATAGCATCAGATTTGGAGCATTGAGCTTCTTTTCTATGGACACAAAGAATTTAAATAGATTAGACCTCTGTTTTGAAGTTATAAATGGCATGCAGTTTCACTAGCTCACTGCACGGCTTATGATCACTTTTCATTCACTGAGGGTTCAAGCTTGTCCCTGTCGGTTACATCTATCAAAGGAGGAAAGGTTTATGTTAAGGAAGATGTTCTTACATAAAGGCACCAACTGAACGAAGAGCAGGACACAGCCTCCTAAGAACAAGACGGCTGCCATTGAATATCGCCGGGGAAAATATTGAAGGAGCACCCAAGAGATGATATAAGCTGGGACTTCGATTACTGCCGAAAGGAAGCAATTGAGATAGATGTCTCCATGCAAGTTAGGAGTGTCCAAAGAGAGGCCAAAGTATCCTATGGCAATGACCATCCTGAAAGACAGATCTGTATTATTATAAATTTGCTGGAGCCTCCAAGGAGTTCTGCACTGGACTAGAGCTATTTCATTTTACATGTGACAATAAGCTGCATGGGTTCCTAAGCATCCTGAACATCAGCTAATTCTGCTGTTGCTGCTTACATTATCATCTAATTACATATTCAGAATGCAGACTTAACACCTTTCTCAGGTATCGTATCATAACAGTCCTCTCTATTCATGTAGAGAAATGGGCATGTGTCCTTTTCATCCTGTCCACCACAGATCTGAATTAATGTCAGAGGTGGAAATACAGCACAGTGATATGGATAAGTGATGGCTATGGTGATTGAAAACATTTTCCTTCCTTTTATGAGGTGGAAGAATTATAAAAGTGGAGATATATTTGGCCTTCCACATTCATGGGTTTAGCTGTCACAAGTCTGATTATTTGCGAGTTTGCCACCAATAATTAAATGGGATTTTTTTTCAACCTACCATGGATCCAAAGCCTCATTGCTGCCCCCACATTCCTCATGAAGAGATAATCTGGGCAGGAGTTAGGGAGTCCTAGAGATATCCAAATCTGTTATTCTGTATCTCTGAAATATTAGCTAGTATAATAACTGGCTTTTAAAAAACTTAACCATAAAAGCAGCCTAGTTTGGCAACAGACAAACCATCTTGGGTGCTGATCAAGTAGCATCAAATTCTGAGAGACAAAAATTAGTGTATGCATGCACACATTTTCCCCACCACATATTTAAGTGTGAGTACATCTTAGAAATGAATACCTAAAAAATGCTTATCTTAACAACAACAACAACAGATTTTTATACCCCGCCACCATCTCCCCAAGGGGACTTGGGATGGCCTATAAAGGGACAAGCCCAAAACAGAGATACAATTAAAATCAATCAATTAAAAATAAAAACATAACACAGTCATAAACATCAACATAAATAATACGTCAGAAATAAAAATCATAGCTGAGTACAGGCTCAATGAGTGCAATAATTCCTAAAAGGAGCCAATGGAAAGTGTGGAGATCAAATTAACAGGGACTAGGGAATACCCTTAGCAAAAGTGTTCGAGGTGATCAATAAGAGGGCTGAACGAAAGTGCAGGACTTAGCATAGAGTCAAGATAGTTAATAATAATAATAATAATAATAATAATAATAATAATAACACTTTATTTGTATCCCGCTACCATCTCCCCAAGGGACTCGGTGCGGCTTACATGAGGCCGAGCCCGAACACAACAATACAAGCAATAATCACAACAATACAAGCAATTAAAATAAAAACATAAACAATAAACATACAACATTATCAATAAGACAACATACAATTAAAACTGTGGGAAAACTGTGTTCTCTGGTGAACTGTTTAATCCAAGGCACAATGGAACATCCAAGTTTTTAATTTCCCCTGGAAGGTGGACAAGGTGGGAGTCTGTCTGATCTCCCTAGGGAGTTCCAAAGCCGGGGGGCCATCACCGGGAAGGCCCTCTCCCTCGTCCCCACCAAGCGAGCTTTAGATGGTGGCGGCAGCGAGAGCAGAGCCTCCTGGGATGATCTCAGGGTGCGTGCTGGTTTATAGGGGGAGATGTGATTGCGAAGATAGGCGAATAGTGATTGTCTATGATTTAGAATGGAGGTAGGGATGTTTTCATATGCTACTCTGTTAAGTATACTCACCTTTCTATAAATAAATACAATAATTTATGAAACTGGAGCATAAAATTTGCAGGCTTCAGTCATTTGAGTGCATTTTAAGAGGTTGTTTATAGTTTGCTTACCATAAAATCACAGACATAATAGTGATGCAGCGGATATTCTGACCCTTCACCAGGTCCAAAATGCTGTATGCTTGTTGGTCCCGGGTTGTCAAGTCTTGTAACTATGAGTGACAAATTACACAACATGTTAAAACTTGTTGCCTTCTTCCCAAAATCATGTGATTACAACATAATGTTCTAAAAGGAGCACTTTCTAGTACATTTCCAGGTCATTTATACAGCTTAATTTGGGTCAGCACATGAAATAATAATGGAATTGTATCTGGAAAGGATCAATATTTTTCCAGAAACAAAGTTAGTGTTGTGTATTTGCTGAAACAAGGAAGATGTCTATAGCATATACCACCCATAACCAACATGTGCAGATCTGTTGTGCTTTTAAACAGTTAAACTGTTTAACATTTTATAGAAGCTAAATGAAAGGAATAATGTAGAGCATGCTGAGTTTTAAGGAAACTGGGAAACACATGCTGACTAGGGATTGAAGTAATTTAATCCCCAGCAGCTTTGTGTAATGGAATGAAACTTGGTAGCTTTGATTACATGTGGCAGAAGGTTTTAATGCAATGATTCTCAAACAGTGGGTCCCCAGATATTTTGGCCTTCAACTCCCAGAAATCCTAACAGCTGGCAAACTGGCTGGGATTTCTGGGAGTTGTGGGCCATAACACCTGGGGACCCACAGGTTGAGAACCACTGCTTTATTGGATGGCAACATATCCAAATGCAGGAATCTTGGGGGAAAACTCTCACCAGATACAATACACATGCAAATTTACCTCAGAGGGATCGAATATTACTTCCGGAGCTGTAACACCATTCTTTTGGGCAGCCTTCCGAATAATGCATTCTGCTTCCTCAAGCCTTCCTTGAGACAGCAGCCATCGAGGGGATTCAGGTATGAACCTACAGGTTTTGAATGGGTTATAAAATCTTCCTACCATAAAGAACACTGTGATCACAAAAACCTTTAACTATAAAGCTACAGCTTCTTGTCTCGCATACAAGAAAGGGATGCCTATCGAAAAAGCCAATAATCAGTTAAATACTATATTAATAAGGTTGAGCATAACATAAGATATAAAAAGAATGATGAATGATTATCATGAAAGAACACTACTAAAAGATACCATGCCATAGTACAATGGTCCTCAAAATTTTAAAACAGAATGCCAGACTGTTGGAGGCCGTAGTATAGTTTAAGGTCTGGGCCAATGTGGATTAAGTGGTTTGAGTGCTGGATCAGGTGAAATGGTTGAGAGTTCCCACTCATTCATTGAAACCTACTGGGTGACCTTGGGCAAGTCACATTCCCTCAGTCTCAGAAGGAGGCAATGTCAAATTGCTTCTGAACAAAGTCCCCATGTTATGTACCCCTTAGAGTTGCCATATATCTCCCAAAATGAAATACAAGGCAGCTTATGATAATTTAAAAAAGATCAAATTGAAACACTAACTTATAAAAGTTAAAAATAATTAAATATCAATATCATTAAAAACTTTATTAAAGACATCTTTTGTTTAAACTATGTTTACAATAATAATGTTTAATAAAAGATTAGAAATTTACAGCCAATAGTTTTACACACATCAACTTCATAAAAAAGACTGAAAAGCCAGCCTAAATAAAAAATGTCTTCACCTTAATACACAGGTCTGAGAGAAAATCCATAAAATAAATAAATGGGTATGAGAAGAAGCTGAGTATGAATTCTTATTAAAAATGGCTAAATTGAGGTTATCATACTTTATTTATATTAGGAGATTACATGACACATTGCCAATAATAATAATAATAATAATAATCAGTAAAAAGAAAGAAAAGAGGAACAATACATTGCAGATGGGCTGATTCAAAGACGAAGCTTCAGCTGAGTGTGCAAGATTTGAGCAAGATTGCTGATGACAAAAGAAGCACCTAATGCAATTTGAAACCATGTCATGTCTTAATGCTTTGGCATCATGGGAGCTGTAGTTTTACAAGGTAAAGGAGTGCCGATGCCTCACCAAATGACAATCTCAGGACTCCATATCACTGAACCATGGCAGTTAAAGTGGTATCAAATTGCATTAATTCTACATATAGATATACCCTAAGATTCTCGGAGATCTCTGATTTACAGGGTCAAAGTTGACTTGCTGGCGAACAACAATAACAAATACTTACCACCACAGAGGAATGTACAGCACCCCTGGCACAGTAAGAGCCAAAAGCAGCATCCGCCAATCTCTGAGGAAGTAAGCCGTCAGTGGCAGCAACATGTAGCCCAGGGCATAAAACAGGCAAACACCTAATGTGCAGTATATAATACGGATTGAGTTGCCGAGAATTTCTGTGCCTGTTAAAACAAATGAATATCAGTTAGCACTTTAATAATAAATAATAAGAAGCTTTATTTTTACCCCACCCCCTCTCCCTGAAGGGACTTGAGGTGGCTTACAACCAAACAAATACAGGAAATAATATAAGCAATAAACAATAAGCAACAATAAGCAGATATCACTTAATACAAATAAAATAACACAATAGTATAAACATTAATAAATAACCCGTTTAAAACTATTTGCCCACTAAAAACAGTCAGGGTATTAACTTTTATTTTATTTTATGTACACATTTTCTTGAGATTAGAAAACAGCTATGCCACATATTCATGACTTCTTATACATAAGGGATAAACCTTAATTTTTATTCCTGCATTAAAGAAAAGTTCTGAGGTTCTACTGATATATGAGGTAATAATATCTACTATTACTGGCTCGTGAATTCTTTGTTAATTGAGTAATCTTTTTATTGCACAGCCAGTGGAATTACAGATTTCACCTATTTGTCATACTGAAGACTATGATATATCATATGTCAGTTTCCAGTCCCAAATTATTACACATTACATGGAGATTATTGGCAAGAACAGTGTTTAGCACTCAAAATACAACTATCTTGGTATTTTTAGGCTAAAGTGGAAAAAAGGCAACACTCCAGATATTGCTCAACTGCAACTTTCATTGCCTCTACACAGCCTAGTCAATAATTAGGAGTGCTGGGAATGTCCGTCCAACACCACCTGAAGGAGTACAATTTGATCGTCTTTGTTATAAACTAATTTTGTAGTCTGAAACAAATTGGCCATTATTAAGGCTATCTGAATGTATCTCTAATATCTTTTCAGAAATTTCTATAATAATAAATAGTGAGATACTCTGCAGATGGGATCCAAGTCTAAATATGAAATGTTTTATAGAATTCTTGTGCATGTAGCTTGAAGGTAATTTGATAAAATAATTTTAAAAAGTCATCTGCATGAAACAAAATCTGTGTACATGGAACCACCAAAACACAAAAGTGTCACTATCTCCATTACCCATTGGGATAATTTTGGAATGTGGAGTATTTTGGATTTTGATATTTTAGTCATTGTCCATCCTATACCTGAAATACTACGGATATGCACCTGAGGGCTCCTTGATTTTTAAATCATATTGGCTTGAATCCTACTGATTACTCCAAACTAGAGAAGATCTATTGAATAAACTACTCACTGGTTAATTAATGCATAGCTAAATCCTGGTAATTGGATAGCTCTGCTCTAGCAGATCTGTCACTAGGTGGCAGGCTTCCCTCAAACTGTGCATACTTTTGAAGTGAATGCTGTTTAAATTCAGAGATTAGTCGAAAAGGAGCTGTCCCTCCTTTGCCCTCCTGTTGTGGCAAGCATCCTCCTTGACTTGGGCAGAACTTACAAGGCTGTAAGGCTGTACCATGCCATTGGACCCTCCGAGCGATGTCAGTGGTGAGGACATGACTTCACTCAAATGATGGCTGCATAATTTTGCTTGAAGATTGTAGTATATCAAACAAAAGAATGATAACCAAACTTTCCCCACAAAATTGCAATAGTTGTTAGAAATATATTCACATATCTCTACGTTCTATTTAGCTTCCCATGAGAGTGCATTAACTCCCATTCAGTTTAATTGAATTTAAGCAATCTATTTGAAGGCCACAGCCATAAGGATTAGTATGCATAGCTCATGATAATAGTTTCTTGAGCTCAGTAATACCCCGTTCCTTGCAGGCATATGCTGAACTGAATGGGAGGTTCATAATCAAACCACTTGTTGGAATTCGAAGAGGTCAGTAGTGGTTTTTTATTGGATGTCCCTGTCAGAACCCCCTTTAGTCCATTAACTAAAGAGTTATAAGAATCAAAAACAACCTCAATATTATTTGTCTCCGACTAGATTTCTCTTTTAAGAAGGTCTACTTCTGACGAGTCCATGATGTCCTTTAGGTGGGTTGGATTAACAAATTTCCATCTAAGTCTTTTATTATATTGTAATTCCAATGTCTGGCTCTCCTGATTGGTGCTAAGTGTGGGCCTTCTAAGGTCAGTCTGCAGGAGGCATCTCACTGTCACAGGTTGGTGATCGCTATCCAATCTGGGAATAACTTCCAAGGGCGTAAACACTGGTTGGAGATCCCTGGAAACACAAATGAAATCTATAGCACTACTGGCATTCGCTGAATGGAAGGTGAATGGGTATATAAATTCCTCATTTAAGCCTCTAAGGATCGTGAGATCGAATTTGTACAGTAGGGCCACCAATGAAACTCCAGCTTTATTTCTTTGACAGTCACGGGACCTCCATCCGAAGTCGAATAAACTTGCATCTGGGGGGATGTTGCTAGCTGATGCAATCTTCAGTTTGGAGTTGCCCAGTCTCGCATTGAAGTCACCCAGGATGATGATCTGTGCTGCCGTACAGCCATAAGGATTAGTATGCATAGCTCATGATAATAGTTTCTTGAGCTCAGTAATACCCCGTTCCTTGCATGCATATGCTGAACTGAATGGGAGGTTGCTGCATGCCTTCCTTATTCCAATCCGAAACTTGTTTTGAGTCCAGCTTAGTGTACATCACATAAACTCAGAGCTTGAGTGCCTTACACCGAGCAAAAGCCAAGGGCAAAATGAGTCTACTGAAGATGCACTGAGACCCTTTTCCCAAATTCATAATAACCATAAGGGAGGAGAAACTGGAAACTGGTTTTCCCGTGACAATCCTTGTGTGGGTCAGTCCTTTTTTCATAGGGAACTGACTGCATGGTGACCTTAGTCTGTAAAGTACCAGTGGCAAATCATGCTGGTATGTTGTGTGTAAAATCTGCATGTTGGATACAGATTTGAGAATGGAATACAGCAAGATATTAACAATACATTTTAACTGTTATCGCATTTTTTAAAAAGCTATCTACTGTTCCACAATGCTTGTAATCCTGCCTAGGACTGAGCAAGAGCAAAAATACGATGCTTTTCTTTAAGAAAGTAAGCAATGATGCTGAGACCATTTGTTCTGCAAATGTTCTAGTACATACCTAGTACAAATGCTGCTACATAATTAGAGATCTGCCCCATTCCAACAATGAGAAAGAGGACTGAAAACATCTCCCAGCTTGTTGAGAAGACCTGGAGGATGCCAAAGCCAGTCTGGACTCCCATGGTTGCAAACAGCACATTCTTCCTACCAAATCTATCATCCGATTAAAAAAACCAGACAGTTATTAAACAGAATTTATGGCGACATTAGAATACAGAGGCTATTTATTGCATGATAGACAGCATAGTGTAGTGACTGGACTCAGGTTATGATTCTGGAGACAAGTTTGAATCCCATTTTAGCCATGGAAATCCACTGGATGACCCTGAGCAAGATATACTCTTTCAGCCTCAGCAGAATGCATAGGCAAACCCTTTTTGAAAAAAATCTTGTCAAGAAAACCCTGTGACAGGTTTACCTTAAGGTTTCCAGAAGACAGAAATGATTTGAAAGTATACAAAAAGAGCAACAATTAATGCATGCATATCTCCCCCATTTTATATGCATGAAGAGAAAATGTAGTGAAGGATCCCCACTTCTACACTTCTTAAATAAAGATTAAAGTAGTGGCCATGATGGTCACCACTGAAACATGCACCATAATGAAGAGAAAACAAGGTTAAGAGAGGAATATGCCTGAAATTGGACCAAGACACAAGAGGAGTCCTATGAAAATTCAGACATTTAATGTTTAAATCTCAGCAAAAGTATGATAGCTGGGACCCTACACAATGCTAGTTGCGCAACATGGCTCAGAATTCATAGAATCATAGAATCAAAGAGTTGGAAGAGACCTCATGGGCCATCCAGTCCAACCCCCTGCCAAGAAGCAGGAATATTGCATTCAAATCACCCCTGACAGATGGCCATCCAGCCTCTGTTTAAAAGCTTCCAATTAATGAAGGGAAGACATGCGCAACGCGAGTCAGAATTAATGAAGGGAAGACATGCACAACGCGGGTCAGAATTAATGAAGGGAAGATGTGTGTGAGGCAGCGGAGCGAGTGACAGATGCAGCTGCAACAGGATAGCAGTGAAATAATTTAACTCAGGTGTGACAGGATAAGGGTGAAGTAATGTAAGAGTTATTTAATGTTAAATGATAAACAGCTGCTTACGAAGACAGTAAACAGGATAGAAATGTTACCTCTCCCCCTTTCTGGCGAACAATGTTGCCACGACGCTGACGCAGGTGCATTTCTCACTGTCTGAGCTGTCTCATGCATGTGTTGCCCTCATTAATTCAGACCCGCATTGCGCAACCAGCGTAGGGTCCTACCTATCATACTTTTGCCAAAATCTCTCCCCTCTTTGGTCAAATCACTAGCATATTTATCTTGTTTCTCTTTTTAGTATTTTTATCAAACAAATACATTAATAATACTAGTTCTAATATATGCTTTTAAGTATCTGGAAAGAGGGTAAAATGGTGAAGCTGAACAAAGAAAGATACCATTTTAAAGGTTTCTTGACTGCTGAAAAAGAAGCTTGCACGAGAGCCAAATGCTCTTGGGGACGAACACTACTTTTCCTCAGATTTTCCTCCACTACCCTCTATTCAGCCATTAATGGTGCATGGCTGGGAATCTCTGCCTCTCTGGCCACTGCCGAATACCTCTTCTAAATCAAGAAGTCATCTTGGTTAACATGTTTGATTAGATGGCCCATGTGGTCTCTTCCAACTCCATTATTCTATGAGACATGACAGGAGAACAGTTCATCAACAGTTGGAGAACTGAATTTTTCCCAGCCCAGACTTAGGCAATGTTTATATCAGATTGCATTTGCCCCTTTACAGTGATTAAGCTTGCAGTACAGCTTTACTGGTTAAAGCAAGAGGAAGAAAGGGTGTGAGGGTCTGGAAGCTTAGAAAAGTGGCTTACAGAGCTTGGTATGTTTAGCTTGGAAAAGAAAATGTTGGGAGGAGTGATGATAGTCATGTTTAAATATTTGAAATGATGTCATATTGAGGAGACAGGTTTGTTTTCTTCTCCTCTGGAGACTAGGACATGAAGCAATGGATTCAAATGGCAGGAAAAGAGATTCTGCCTAAACATTAAGAAGCACTTGCTGGAGGTATGAGCTGCCTGACAGTGGTGTGGGATGCCTGAGAGCATTATGGAGTCCTTCTCTGGAAGTGTAAAAATAACAGTAGATGCAAAAAAAGTGTAATAGATTGTATTGAATATTATGTGTCTGCTGTATAACAATGTATATATAAATAAATAAAAACAAAGGCCAGACGACCACCTGTCAGGACTACTTTGATTGTATAATCCTACATGGTAGGTTACATTTGGACTGGATGGCCCTTGTCTCCTCCAACTTTATTATTCTAAACAGGCTTTTTCTCCTTTGTTGAGTTGTTGGGAAGCTAGCAGCTGAACCATATTCAAAGGAGACATGATAAAGGTAAGATAAAGAGTAGCGGGGAAACAGACACACTATGTGAGAATCTCAATTTTATACATTCATCCTGAGCCATGAAATGTAGTGGACTGATTTGCATAATTCAGTGTCTCTCAGAATATCCTTTCTTACCCCCCCCCCCCCCAGATCCAACCCTTTGCTCCCACTCCTTTAATCTATTTGAAACTGTATTTTAAAAGATTTGCAAATTAGAAACAATATCATATTGAACTGTTGCTATTTAGTTCTGCTCTTTGGCATTCCTGAAAATATTTTGCTATGTCAGTTTGCTATCACTGCACTACATAGATCATTGTAGCAAATCCAAAAAAGGGAACAAAATGACACAAAAACAAGAGAAACTCAAGTTCTTAGCAGATTAAATAACTAAATAGTATGTATAAAGGATGTATCACACTTACTACAGTTATTTACGTTAGAGCTCCAAAGTATTATCAGTAAATTGCTACATCCTTTTATTTTTGTGTATAAAAACAGACAAGGAGCTTTAATATATGCATTTTACCTGTCTGAGATCTGTCCAGATACAAAGGATCCAAACAGTACACCCACAAAAAACAAAGAGGTAGTTAGAGGTGTTTTCCAGTCGTTGTCACAGACAAGATCCCACTGCAAGTGAAAGGAAAGGAGAAGGTTATAGAAAACATCCATTTTCTCAAACAACCAGGCAATAATCTTAGACTCTTTGATATCAAATCTGGATGCACACTTGTCCACAAATCCATACACCAATGTTTTGATCTAAAAGCAAATTCCCTAAATTTATGTTTAATTTCCTTTGACATCTTACATATTTATGAAACAGAACTCTACAAAATCTAATTCAGGGGCTCAATCAGTCAAATACTTCAGCACATAATGATCCAGCTTCTGCATTTCTGATACAGAGCATAGAGTAACTTTAGAATAGAATAACTTTTTATCATTGTACATCGTACAACAAAATTAAGTGCCAATACACATCATATACATAGAATTACAAATCAAAACATCCGTGCTTCCACGTTCTAATCACTATTGCACAATCCCTAATATCACATCAATGTGAAACCACAGAGTTCAATATAGCTCTGGGATAAAAGCTCTCTCTCAGCCTATTTGTCCTTGTTTTTATCATCCTTTGGCATCTTAGTCATTTAAAGAAAATACTTCCTTTAAGGATGGTGTGTGGGTTCCTAGTAATACCTTCAAATTGCTTTAGACCAGCTGAACCTTTTTTTAAATATTGGAAACTGTATTAATAGGCGCACTAGAAAAAAAACAAACCCAAAAGGCTCTACAAGTTTAGAGTATCAGCTCTCAAAAGGGAATGTCAGTTTTAACTATGGGAATGTGCATTAAACAGTCAAGCAGTAGACTGGATCAGATGTACTGTAAGAAGTAGGACAGGGTAGCTCCTGTCAAAAATGCTTAATGATTGTCAAGGGAATTGATGCACCTCCTTCACTCAGATATACTAGAGTGGGACATCTGGAATAGATCATGTGGCCCCTCCTGGAACATGTACCACTATTGTTGATGAATAAGTCACATGATCCAAATGGGTCTGTTGGGGTTGGTCTCTAACTCCAGTGGGGTCACGTGTGCCATTCAGAAAATTGCTCCATCACCTTTAATCAAGAGGAACCCCACCTCTCAAAGCCATGTAGTCACAACTGGTTGATGAGGGTAAATTTTCAATGTGTGCCCTAATTGATCACAGAAGAGTAATGCAACCCCTGTGGTCCTGACTGGTTCAGTGGCTTTTGATATCATTGATCATGGTATCAACCTGAGCTGCTTCTCTGGGATGGGACTTGGAGGTAATATTCTATAGTGACTCCGTTCTTTCCTGGTGAGAGGCACACAGAATGTGCTACTGCGTCTTGAGTTTTTGGTCTTTGGTCTGTATAGTCCCTTAGGGATTACTCTTGTTATTTAATATGGCTGCCAATTAGCTTCAGAGCACAATTCAAAGTGCTGGTGTTAACCTATAAAGCCCTAAATGACTCCGGCCCAGTTTACCTGTCCGAACGTATTCTCCCCTATGAACCATCTAGGTTGTTAAGATCGTCTGGAGGGGCCCTGCTCTCGGTCCCACTGGCCTCTCAGGCACGTCTGGTGGGGACGAGGGACAGGGCCTTCTCGGTGGTGGCCCCTCGATTCTGGAACTCTCTCCCACTGGAGATCAGAATTGCCCCTTCCATTCTGTCGTTCAGAAAACGGGTGAAAACCTGGCTATGGGGTTTGGCTTTCAACGAGTGAATCAATATTTCTGTGATCGGATAGATGACGATGAATGATGGACAACGAATTCACTATGGTGACTGACCATTGTTATTATGTGATTGCATTTTACTATTATAACGTTTTAATTGAATATGTTATATGATGTTTTTAATGATTGTTTTTTGATTTTATTGTTGGAAACCGGCCCGAGTCCCCTGATAGAGGGGAGAAGACCGGTATACAAAATTGCTAAACAAACAAACAAATAAATAAATAATATCTACATGAAACTACTGAGAGATGTTGTTTGGAGTTTGAATGCACTAACAATAACCAGCTCTATTACTTCATTTCACCCAATTCCAAGGAGGTTGGAATTGGATTTGAGCATAGAGATCCAGGTGAATTTGTGCAGTTGAAGTAAGTATGCTGACTGTGCTCATTTCTGGAGAAGTCAGACAGGCATGGTTATATGCTTATATACCTTGGGTATATTCCATTGGGATAATTATAGTAATGTGGTCTGCATGAGGATATCTTTGAAACATGGACACAAACCTCTGGTGTACCTGCAGCCAGACTGGTAACTGGGGTTGGCTATAGGAACAGGTTGCAACAGGTGCCAGTTTATTCCCAATTCAAAATGCTGGTTTTGACCTACAAAGCCCTATACAACTTGTATCCGGGTTATCTGAAGAATCATATCTTCCCGTATGAGCCAATTAAAGTTCTAAGACCTTCTGGAGAGATCCTTATCTGTATCATAGTACCTTCTCAGGCATATTTCATGGGAGAAAAGGAAAGGATCTTCTTGGTGGCTGTTCTTGCTCTCCTTCCATCAGCGAATTTAAAAAAGGATACCAATCGGCTTTCACAAACCAACCAAGGTTGAAATTTTAATGTTGTGTGATGCTGTTTTCAAGATTTCTACACATTCTTTAATGCATTTTAATATCGTTAATATTTAAGAAGAAAGTTATCAGACTATCAGATGTGACGTACTCACGGTAGTAGTCGGACTAAAGAATTCTACATTATAATGACAGGATCGTTAGAATTTCCTATACAGGTAATAGAAAAATATTTTCTTTCTTTTTTACAGAAAAAAAGCCTTCTAGTAGAATAAAAGGAAGTAGTTATTGTTACCTACATAGCTCTCTAGACCACAGCATGTAAGTCATCTGCATATATTTATATCCCATATCAATGTCAATATTTTAAAAAGTTTTCATATAAAAGATGAATAATTCCAAAATTGACAAATACGTGTAATGTCTGTCTTTGCTATCTAGGTACCTGGCATATTTACTAAAGTGATAAGTCTACGTAACAAACTGTGCAGTTCTGTGTACAAGTATTCATAGGCAAGTCCCACTGAAGTAAAGGCTTACTTTTTGAAAAATAGGTATAAGACTGCAGCTTAAAATATGTATATGGCCTGCATAGCTGTTAGTATTCAAGCTGGCCATTGGCTGAGCTTCCAATATCTAATCAGACTATGCTTTTTAAAAACATAGCAAAATGGTGAATTAGCCAAAACAATTTTCATGTATATAACCTTTATTATTAGGCATGAACTTTATTTTTAACATGAACTGTAAAACTTATTGAGATTCATCTTATAAACCGACAGCCTTTTCATATACGTTGAATATCTAGAACATTTCAGTTAATTCATGCATAGCTTGCCATTTTTTAGTTAGACAGCCACAAATTTTCCCAGAGGATATGGTCAAAATTATCTCACTGTATAAAGTAACAGCGGGATGTGCTGTATTTTGTTTGGACTGGAAAGTTACAAGAGCGATACGTCATATCAAAGGTCTAACCTACAGGGATTCTCATGGAGAAGACCTGTTTCTCAGATTACAGAGCTAGCAGGTTTGGTTTAAGAGAACACAGTCTTGATGTCAATAATCTTTTCAAGGCTACATAAAGACAAATCAGTGCAAGTACCAAGGAAAGGCTGCCTCAGAGTTTGGGACCTCTGTTATGTGTCTTGTTGCTGTTGTTGTTGCCGTGGGGTTGCCAAAAACCTTGCAATGGTCGAAAGTCATTTCTCTCTTTCAAAACAAAAGCAGCTTTAAAAAAATACTTAGTACAGGAAAACCTTTACAAACTTTTAAAAATATAAATTGTTTCTAGAAGCTTTTAGGAAAGGCAAGTCATTTCTATTTCAGTCAGAAAAGGGCCACTACCAGGAGTCTAGAGCAGGGGTCCTCAAACTTTTTAAACAGAGGGCCAGGTCACAGTCCCTCAAACTGTTGGAGGGCCAGATTATAATTGGGGAAAGGGGGAAACATGAATTCCTATGCACACTGCACATATCTTATTTGTAGTGAGAAAAAAAACCTAAAAACAATGCAATAATTAAAATGAAGAACAATTTTAACAAATATAAACTTGGGTTGTTGTAGGTTTTTTCGGGCTATATGGCCATGATCTAGAGGCATTCTCTCCTGACGTTTCTCCTGCATCTATGGCAAGCATCCTCACCTCACTACCTCTGAGGATGCTTGCCATAGATGCAGGTGAAACGTCAGGAGAGAATGCCTCTAGACCATGGCCATATAGCCCGAAAAAACCTACAACAACCCAAGTTTATATTTGTTAAAATTGTTCTTCATTTTAATTATTGCATTGTTTTTAAGTTTTTTTTCTCACTACAAATAAGATATGTGCAGTGTGCATAGGAATTCAGTGATTCTGGCCATGAAAGCCTTCGACAAAATGAAAGCCGTCGACAAAATATAAACTTATTTCAATGGGAAGTGTGGGCCTACTTTTGGCTGATGAGATAGGATTGTTGTTGTGTGTTTCAGACTTAGGTTGACCCTGAGCGAGGGCCGGGTAAATGACCTTGGAGGGCCGCATCCGGCCCCCGGGCCTTAGTTTGAGGATCCCTGGTCTAGAGGGTTGGAAAGCCAAAACAAAACCAAACAACTTGGTGTCCTTGGGCTGGCTATTCAGAACCCACCTCCTTTCTAAGAAGTACAATTCTCCTATCTGTAGCCAATACATTCCTAGACTTCACGTAGAATGTGAATAACAAATCTTATTGAAAGGGAAATACTTCTGGCCCAAGAAAGTCATAGAGCAGACTTGCACAACCTGTGGTTCTCCAGGTGTTTGGGAATCCAACTCCCAAAAGTCCCAACCAGGCTGTTCAATGGTCAGGAAATCAGGGAGCTGAAGTACAAATAAATTGTGGGACACAGGTTATTCAGGTCTGCCACTGAGTCATGCAGAAATACCTAGATGATATATTTTGTCAGATGTGTCTACATGAAACTGTAGACACTGGTACTTCAGATATGGCAGTTGTACTGAACTCACAATTTTAACTTTCAAAAACCATTCCAACCCAGTGGTACTCAACAAATATCTGCAAATAAGCCACA